CTTGAGCATGTGATCAGCTGGTTTTGGTTGTCAGCAGCAAAACTGGTTGATCCACTCTGAGAAGGTGCTATTTAAGAGACTGAGCTGAAAACAACACCTCAGACTGAGGAAGTCTCTCGGATGAAAGACAAAATGTTTCTACATTTTGTTGTTGTATTTTTTGAATGTCCAGAGGACCAGATTGAACTTTTTTTGATTTGCTTTGAAAATAATTTTTAACTGGTTTTCTCACCAAATCTTACATTAGTTTGAAAAGGAGACCCAGACACTTCAAAATGATCTCAGATAGTGTGGATGTAGTCCTAGTAACTTTTAAATTTTTTTTATAATTTCATGTTTTTTTCCATTTTTAAAATCACAGTTTGCTTTTTAAATTAATAAATGTACATATTAAAAAAATATGGAAACACCCTGTAAAAGATCTAATTAAATTAAACAATTTAAATAACAATAAACCTTTAGGACTTGTTTGTATCCAATCACTGTCAGAGCTCTGATGATTCCTTCAAGGCGTAGTTTGTGTCTCAAATTTATAATTTAAATTTTTACTTACATTTTGGTGGTAGGAGAGCTGTGGATCCCGCCTGACTCAGAGTGACAAACTCACCTTCTCTGTGTTTAGCTGATTCCTCAGATAAACACAACATCCAGAGGCAGATACAAAAGAAAAGCCAGGGCCTGGCTCCGATTATGACACACAGCAGTTGTGTGTTGAATAGTGTCTTTGTGAGGACTGTGGATAAAAAAATGACAGACTGTGTTTCAGCTCCCTTCACTCAACCAGAGTGGATTCACCAAATCTTTTTTCTGCATTCGATAGAAAACCTTAAATTTGCAGCTGTATGGAAGTGCTGGTCTGTACATGATATGTAGATTATATGCTGTTGTTAGGAACTGCTGGCTTACAGGACAATGTAGCCCTTTCTGCTGGGATTAAACAGTTTGTCACCCACGATCTGAATTCATGTTGTTTTCTAACTGTTAGAGCTGATACACATGACTTATTCTGTGTTTGGACAGAACTAATCACAGGCCTGCACTGAACTGGCTTCCTGCTTTTAAATAGAGTTCTTTAGATCTAACACCAAATCATTAATGATTTCAGTCATCACTGTCCTGTTGTAATATTTATGGTAGGATGTCTGAATGTCAACTGGCTGTTCTTTAGACACAATATTACATACTGTATTTATCCTTGAGATTCAGATCAGCAGCAATAATAAATGGTAAATGGACTGTACTTATACAGCACCTTTCTATCTGATCAAGATACTCAAAACACTTTACATTACAGTCTGTGCCTCATTGACCCATTCATACAGCTCTATACTAGATCTCTACAAAGGTAATTGAACAAATCATTCTAAAGAGACTAATCAGAGCTTTATCACATTCATACACAGATGGGACACACATCAGAGGCTATGAGGGGTTCAGTGTCTTGCCCAGGGACACTTGGGCATATGACTGCTGGTGGAATCAAACCCCCGATTCTCACATTGGAGGGCGACTGCTCTAACCACTCAGCCACAGCCGCCCCAAAAATGAGTTACAAATAAAACTTCTGGATTTGAACAAGCTTACCCACCACCAAAAGCGTAAAGTTGATTATGGTTTTGTGTGTAAGGATGTGGTTTTTCAGTCATTTAGGCAAAATGTTTAATTACCCATTGGCCTGATTTTAATGGAACTCTCAAAGTAATCCCTGTATGTACATTTTTATAGTTACCCTGACAAAACATGGCCACCATAACTTATCAACAGTAACCACATCAGAAATTTTGCTGATATTTAACTAACATTTTGTGTTTTAGTAGCTGAGCTTATTCAGAAGTCAAGTCAAGTCAGATTTATTTATAAAGCACATTTAAAACAGCAGCTTTTACTAAAGTGCCATTAAGATCATTTAATAGCTATTTAATAGCCGCAGCTTCGTGCACTCCGCCCATCTTTTGGACGACTGTACGTACATATTCTCGTTGTATCTCGGTGCAATGCCAATAAAGTTTATTCTGATTCTGATTCTGAAGCTCAAGGCAAAGAAAGAGAATAATAACAAGATGTAATTAAAAGCATTAAAATAAAAATATAACACAAGAATGAGAATCAATGAAATACTAAATAGAATCATAGTGTGTTAAACGACAGTGAAAACAGGTGTTTTTAGGAGAGATTTAAAAGCAGGAAGTGAAGTGGCCTGTCTAATGTTGAGGGGCAGATTGTTCCAGAGTTTAGGAACAAGTTCAAATTCAAGTTGTGTTTATTTGTCATATGCAAGGTAACACAAGGTTAACCGTACAATGAAATGCTTTGAATGACAAGAACCAATTTAATTTGTTTAAAAAAAAA